AGTAGGAGATTTTATTAGAAATAGCTGATATTGTTTGACATAGCAGATTTCATATGAATAGTATATTTTATGTGAAATACCAGACCCATTGAAAAAAGAAGTAAAAGATTGTACCGAATGTGAAATAAAAACAAATTTTATTCAAATAGAAAACGATTTTATCTAAATAGAACAAATACACATTTGCGTACTTTTGAAATGGTAGAAGATTTTTTATGTGAAATAGTAGGCTTTTAATTAAAAAACAAAAGAAGACTTTATCTGAAATAGTACATTTTTCTGAAATAGAAAGCAGAAGATTTTATCTGAAACAGAAAGTAGAAGATATAATTTTATCTGAAATGGATCGTAGAAGATTATATCTGAAATAGTAGAAAGTTTTATCGGAACTAGGAAAAGATTTTTATCTGAAGGCGTTGAAGTGAGTGTTGTTAAAAGTAAGGGTTCTCAGAGAAGAAACTGAGTGGGTGGTTGGTGGGTGCTCTGCAGTTGTTCACTCCTCCTTTCCTATTAAACATCTATCGTCCTTATCTCTCCTCCTTTTTTTGTTTCTTACTCTCTTGTAACATTTCTAATCGTCGGCACTTATATAACGTAATTGTGTTGCAAGTGCTATCAAACTAGTACAGAAACAAAGGAGAAACTGGTGATCTGTAGACTGCGACTGAGAGGAATGTCACTGAAGGGTGATTGTGTTATCCATACCTTCCACTTTCCACTGGTACACCCCAGCACTTACATTTTAGCTCTAGTTGTCTTTGCTTCTGCTTTCACTTCTCTCATCATTCACTGCCATCCTTTGCTACTCTCCACTTCATATTTTTTTCTCTACTATAAGTATAAATCTTATCTCTAGTACTTACATTTTAACTCTGGTTTGCTTTGCTTCTGCTTTCACTTCTTTCATCATTCACTGCCATCCTTTGATACTCTCTTTTTCATACTTGTTTCACTCCTATAAGTGTCATATAAGTCTTATCTCTAGTACTTACATGACCCTCCTATTGCAAGCGCTGAAAACCCCTATCAAACCAAACAGCAGTGCAGATATCATCTAAGATGTTGTTTATACCATTAATGCACGTACAATTATAACGCTATTTATATACTTTAAAAAACAATTGAAATAAGATGTGGAGGTGCACTTGTAAACTCAAAATAAAAGTGAACGGGTATTAAAAACGGAAGTTCATAATTACCTCAGTTCCAATTTGCAAACCTTTGCAGACATTAGTACCTTGTCTGGAAGAGAGAGAAAGGAAGAAACGTTTTATCACGTCTTGTAGAATCTTCCACTCAAACACCACAGCTGGGATAATGTGCGCCGGGTCCCAAGCTCTCGACTACTCCCTGTGTACCGGGGTCTTTTTGTGTTTTTGTTTTTGTTTTTTCTTTTTGTTTCT